TCTGACCAAAAAGCCCTGCACAGAGAAGTCATGCTGGAGAACTGCAGAAATGTGGCCTTTCTGGGTAAGGCCCCACTGCTCTGTCCTCAGATGCTTAGAAGAAACACTTTATGGACAGATACAGCCAGTTTTTTTTTTTCTTTTTTAAAAATCCCTGAACATTCTTACCTGGCTGGGAAAAGTAGTGGATCTCCTCTTGCACTGAGGAGAAGAACAATTCAGTATTTTTTTAGTGATTGGACTATTACTCATCTATTTATTTCATACAATTTTCTTTAAATAACATTTTTGGTTTTTTTTTAATCTTTCTGATGACAGATTGATTAAATTGCACAAGATGTAAATTATGTTATTATGTTGACTATGACACAACATTTGTGGTGCTCAAATCCCTCCCTGCCTGAAACCATCCCTGTTTTTTCTATAAACAATTGTTTTTTTCCCAGGTAATAGCAGTTAGTTTAAGACAGGTAAGAAATTAGTTAGAACAATTCGTTGCTCCCATTGTCCCCCTTGTCCATCTCTAGAATAAATATTACAAGCTACTTTTCCCTGATTCCTCATTAATATATTGAGTGAAATGGTTTAACAGTGTAAATGTACTACTTTGCTTAAATAAATGGATATTTTGAAGGTTTCCAAAGTTCATATCATAAAATGCTTCACCTCTATACTGTGTAGTTTTATTACTCATCACTCAAACTCCAAATTTAGTAAGGCTTAGATCAGAGTATTTAATGCTGATCAGCAGAACAACCTTTCAAAATAATGGAGAAACCTTGACATAATTTCACTAGGAAATTCACACTCACTTCCTGTGCTATGAATTCTTATTTTGCTTCCCCTACCTTGCCTCAATTGTCACTCATTCTTTTTCTTTTAAGGAAATAATGTGCAAGAGAACAAGGAAGCCTTCCAAATGTTCAGGCATGAAGAGGGAAGAGAGGACTTTGCAAATGAAATGGAAGCAAAAGGGCATGAGGGAAATCTGTCCAAAAATGGGAGTACAAGGAGCTCAACTTTGCCATCAGCTGAAATTGAAGACTTTCTTCCCCAACAAGATCAGAAAGAAAAAATAAAAGTGGAAACTGCAGAAACATTTGAAGAGGATTTATACAAACATTACACAATTCACACTAAAGAAGAAGATCTATGCCAAGAGTATGAAAAACATTACAATTGGACTTCTAGCCTTTCTTTATGTGGAGAAACCAAAATGGGAAATAAACCATATAAATGTACAGAGAATGGAAAGCATTTAAGTGAGAGCAGTTCCTTTGCTCCCAGTGAAGGGATCCACCCAGCTGAGAAACCGTATAAATGCATGGAATGTGGAAAGAGTTTTAGCCAGCGTGGCAATCTTAATTCCCATAAAAAAATCCACACAGAGGAGAAGCCATATAAATGTGAAGAGTGTGGAAAGAGCTTTACTCAGAAGGTTAATCTTAATTCCCATAAAATGATTCACACGGGGGAGAAACCATATAAATGTGATGAGTGTGGAAAGAGCTTTACCCAAAACATTCAACTGACTTCCCATCAAAGGATCCACACGGGGGAAAAGCCATATAAATGCATGGAATGTGGAAAGAGCTTCAGGTGGAGCACTCAGCTTACTTCCCATCAAAGGGTCCACACAGGAGAGAGACCATATAAATGCATGGAGTGTGGGAAGACCTTCAGTGAAAGCAGTTCCCTTACTTTCCATAAAAGGATCCACACAGGGGAAAAACCATATAAATGCACAGAGTGTGGAAAGAGCTTCAGCATGAGCAGTTCCCTTACTTACCATAAAAGGATCCACACAGGGGAGAAGCCATATAAATGTACGGAGTGTGGAAAGAGCTTTACGCAGAACATTCAGCTTACTTCCCATAAAATGATTCATACAGGGGAGAAGCCATACAAATGCACTGAATGTGGAAAAAGCTTCAATACAACCAGCAACCTTGCTTGCCATAAAAGGATCCACACAGGGGAGAAACCATATAAATGTATGGAGTGTGGAAAGAGCTTTACTCAAAATATTCAACTCACTTCCCATAAAAGGATCCATACAGGGGAGAAACCCTATGAATGTAAAGAGTGTGGAAAGAGCTTTACTCAAAAGATTCAACTTACTTCCCATAAAAGGATCCACACAGGGGAAAAACCATATAAATGCAGGAAATGTGGAAAGAGCTTCCGTAATAATGGGTCCCTTACTCTTCACGAAAGGATCCACACTGGGGAGAAACCATATACGTGCATGGAATGTGGAAAGAGCTTCAGTCGGGGCAGTCATTTTGCTTCCCATAAAACAATCCACACAGGGGAAAAGCCACATAAATGCCTGGAGTGTGGAAAAAGCTTCCGAGAAAACACTTCTCTTACTATTCATAAAAGGATCCACACTGGGGAAAAGCCATATAAATGCTTAGAATGTGGAAAAAGGTTCCGTGAAAATGGGTCCTTTACTTCCCATAAAAGGATCCACACGGGGGAGAGACCGTATAAATGCATGGAGTGTGGAAAGAGCTTCACCACCAGCAGTAACCTTACATCCCATATGAGGATCCATTTAGGTAAGAATCTGTATTTTTAGGTAAGAATGTATATTTACTTGGTTCCATCCATGCATAATGTATGTTCCTAAAAAGGTACTTTTCTCAGTCCTGATTGAAGACTGACGGGATGTCCACAGGGTATGGTAGAAGAAGTCACAACAGTGCGATTAAAACTCATTTTTTATGTGAGTTGCACATGCAGTGCATATAAAAAACAGGCAGAACTTTTATCACACAGTTGTGGGTGCCCTGTTTTACTTTTATTGCCATACCCTGTGGGCACTTCTGAGCCTGACTCTAGCTAAGAGCATTAATTTACTGAGGAAACAGTTTTAATAATAGAGATGTTCTGGTTTGCTGAAGATGAGTGGGGGTTTTTAAGGTTTTATTGTTTTAAGGTGTTACACATAAATAAGAGAAAATCCTTTTTTCAGAAGTTTGGAATTCCAAGCATCTTAATGTTCAGGTTTGCTTCAAAAATGAGTGTAATCACCATTTTATCCATCCCAAATTGTGTGTATTTCAATTAGTGATAATTTTTATTTAGTCTCATGTATTTTCAGTTGGTGCCTTACATGAGTTTCTTTCTTTTTGTCCCAAGTAAGAGACATGCAAGAGAATGAGAACAAAAAGTCAAGCATGTTGACATCTGAAATAGTAAAGCATGAAACGAGAGAAGAGACATTTGGAAGTCATGGGGAACCAAAATAAAGGAAAGTAAAATAAGGGAATCCTCTCCAGGAACATTGGCAAAAGTTATCCATGTCTGAACATGATGTGGCCCAGAAGTTCCTCCTGATCTAATCAGATCACAGAAGAGTAAGAAGAGAACTGCCTTCTGCATGAAACAAGGGTCAAGGAGAAATTGGACTCCCATCCAGAGTGTAGAATCGAGGCTAGAGATCAACCAGGATGAATGCAGAAGCAGGGGAAAATTTTAGTCCTGATTGAAGACTGGAAAATTTTTTTACTTTTTGTCCACCCTGAATGAATCCACCCGGAGACAAACCAGATAAATGTATGGAGTGTGGAAATTGCTTGAGGAAGAATTTATAGAATCCAGATGTCCTAAAAACGCATGTGGAAAAGACCTTTCTTTCAAGCAGCAGGGCCAACTTCCACCTTTCTGTGGTGTGACAAGAGCTAGAACAAAAACATGACGTGCCTGCATTTACCTTTAAAATAACATTAAACTAGTTAAAGACACTTGTCAGGATTAATTTCTGCTCAGTACTTAATCATCTCTAATTTTAGTCACATTAAAAAAATAGAGATGTGACAAATATTATAAATAAATAAAATGAATGATTTTTGGAAGGCCTTTAGGGCTTGCCTTGAAGGTTTCAGAGTTGGGTATTGGCTTGAAAGTTTTCTCAAAGAGTGCTCAACCACAGTTCCTGCTCAAACTGGAGAAAGGCTGCTGGTTTTGTTATGAGATTCAGTATCATTTTTATTGTATGAAATTTGCAGAACAGCAGTTCCCTAAAACCAACCACAGAATTCAAAGGAATATTGATAGATGAAAGAAATGGCCTGAAATAAACAGGCTTCCCACAGCTGTACTCTCAGTTTTTATTTTTGGCTTTTAAAAAAGGCTTTGTAATGTGCCCTTTTTTAAAAAAAGCAGAATAACTGTCCTTTTTCTTTGGTTGGTGTTTCATGGGTGCTTCTCTTTTTTGCATTCTTTGCTATAACTTAATCTCTGCTTTCTTTTTGTTTCACATCCAAATGCAGACCCATCTCTTGGTGATTTTTTCCCTGCATCTTCTGCTTTCTACTCTGAAGAAATTGGTACTTTACTTTTATCTGAGGTACTTCTGTTTCATCATGATCTCGAGGTATAGGCTCCTGATGTTCTCAAGGGTCCTTTAGACTCCAATTGGGTTGTGTTTACAGAGGACAATGAGGATCACTTTATCAAAAAAAGGGTTTACTTTATGAAATTATCCACGCTCCAAAACCCATCTTGGCTGATTCTTAGAGTTCTACCTTTTCTCCTATTCCAGCCTTAATTTCCCAGTCCCATTACAATTTCCAACTTTTTTTCTTCAGAACTTTTATTTCTTTGAACATGTTTTAGGCCAAAAGATACTAGGCTTTAAATATTTACATTTTTCTTTGAGACTTTAATTTTCCTAATTTTCCACTAAATGTCATAGCCAACCATCTTTCACTATCTTAGGTCGTTGGCTACTCCCCAATAAAGCATAAGGTATTTCAAATCCTGATAATATCTGTTGCCAATTGTCCTATGCTGTCTAATAAATCTTGCTTTGGAGGGACTATACTTCCTTTCCAAGAGGGGTTGGGAGTTGGCTATTTCCACCCCATACAGTTTTGTACTTTGTGAACTCAGTCAGATCCTAACATTTTTCTCTCTAACACTGAGGGTCAACTGAAGCTTCAGGGGCCACTTCAGTGCCTCCTGGGGCCCTTGTTGCCATTGATGGCCCTTCTAAAAGTGTCCAACCACTGTGCTGGGCCTTTCATGGGATAGTTTTGCAATCCACCTTTTCTACTTAGACCACACTAGAAGGGGAATTGTGGGGAGCCCAAGGAAAGAATTGCCAATCTTCCTTTTCAGAGATTTCTCCAAAAATGATGTTTGGAAGACAATGGTCATTTTATTGAGGTAGATTCCTTGACTCTTGCCCAGAGCAGATGAAGTTGTTTGGAGGTGGGTTGGGGTGTTTCATACAGATGACAAAGAGCTAGAAAGTGATGCACTTTGAGGATGCCACCATTATTCTTAGCCACTCTGACAAGAATGGCACACACAAAGTTTGCAAATCTCAGGCTGGGTTCCAGCACCTCCTTACACATCAGTAGAAATAACTTTTGCCTTCAAGTCAACTGCCTGAACGAGCCTCTGCAGTTTTCATGGCAGTGTTTTCCAGAAGTGGTTTCCCATGGCTTTTTCTGAGAGAGAGGAGCTGGACCAGAGTCCCTGATGGTTTCATGCCTAAAGCAGGACTAGACCTCATGGTCTCCTGGTTTCTAGCCTGGTGCCTTTAGTCACTACACCAAACTGGCTGGCTGCCTCCATAATGGAATGGGTAATTCTGCTTTCAGAATTCAAGCTGCAAGACAGAGCACCTATCTTCCTTCTGGTGGTTTCCCATAGGGCATCCTGAAGGTCCCCCACCTTCCCCCATGAGGCGACCTTCAAAGAGGGCATCCAGCTCCACCTGCAGCCCGCCTGCCACCTTTGTAAGTTGAGACCAGAAGTTGGTGGCCACCATCTTTTCTGGCACCAAGTGCTCCTGGTGAGGGGCTCTTGGGGAGCTCTATGCAAGGGCCTCTTGAGGGCCCCTGCGCTCCAGTCCTGCCTCCTGCAGGAGGGCTTTTGGCAAGGCCCTATTTGGAGCGTTCTCCTCCTCCTCCTCTAGTGGGCCTGCCCACAGAGCCCTCTCCAGGCCAGCAGCCAGATAGCCCAGCGCTTTCCGCTCCAGTCCAGCACCTTCTCCAGCAGCAGGCACAGCTCCTCCAGGGGCAGCCTGTCTGGTCAATCGGTCCAGCCTTTCACTTTCAAGGCCTCACCCGGGGCCAGCAGCCACCTCGGCTGGGTGCACCCTTGCTGCAGGAGCAGGTCCAGGGCCCGGAGGGCTTCCTGCAACTGCTTCTACAGCTGTACCCCCATGAAGGCCTGCTCTCTCCACTTCCCCCAGCTCCACTGCCACTCCCAGTAGCATGACTCACACTACCTCGCTGCCTGATCTCTGCTGCCTGTGTCCCACTGCCGCATCCTCCCTGGCAGGCCCCATCCACCTCCCTATTGCACGGAGAATTCCCATGCCCTTGCCTTGACCCACTGCCCTGCGTCCCCTGCAAGGTGCCCTTCCATCCTCGCCGCTTAGTGGCACCTGCTGGTCCCGCCCTCCCAGGCTGGCTCCTAATCCCCAGACAGGCCTCCTTGGACCCCGCCCCACCCTGCCTCCTGGAAGGTAAGTCCTTGCTCAGTGTCTTCTGCGTATAAATCAGCAGAAGGGAGCCGTCTCCCACATCCTCCATTTCCATGACCGTTGCCTCCACATGCTTTGAGCCTCTGGTATCTTCTGGGTATGAACGGAGGTGCAGGATGGACCCCCTTAAAATCACACTGGCTTCACAAACAGCACCCACTTTGGCAAGATCTCTTGGAGGAAGAACAAGGCACCACTAGGGCAACTCAGCCCTTCCACTCTTTCTTTCACCTTTCAGAAATAAAAGATTGTCCTTTCTAATAATCACTGGGAATAGAAGCCAGAAAATTGGGTATTTCAGGCTGAAGGGGACCCTCCTCAACTTGAATTCAGAAGGAAATTGTATGAAACAGCTGAAGAGTCTACACAGGAATCCCTCAAGAACCAATTAGAAACTCTTAACCTCAATTGAACATCAAACATTGGAAAAGGGACATCTTCAGTAGGAACATGAAGGTTTCAGGTTAGGCAAAGCTTTCTCTCTCGTAAAATAGCACTTCTGAATGGTCTTCACCCTTGTGGTTCTTCTCAAAATGAAGGTTTCCCTCAGCAATAATTTTCAAGATTAAGAAGCTCTTTTACTCACAAGCCACCAGTGATCTGGAGTGGGGAGAAATGGTGGCCTTAAGATTGGGGTCAAAGGGGTAAGGTATGAAGATTAAATTCCTGAAGAAAATGATAAATATTTAAAGAAATAGAACCTCAAAGAGAAATATATTGAATATATATTGAATTGAAATTTTGATAATGGTGTTTCTTTGAAAAAAATTACATGTATGTATGTATGTATGTATGTATGTATGTATGTATGTTTATTCATTCAATGAATACATTCATTCATTCATTCATTCATTCATTCATTCATTCATTC